ATGAAGATTCTAAACATTGTTTTAAAAATCAATTCATGGTAGCTGGCATCTAGAATTTAATATTAAAAAGCATATTTTTAAAGAATTTTCATATTAAGAAGAATTAGACAGATTTGAAAATATCTTACTTGGATCATCTGAATATAAGCCATAGAATATAGATCAAAATATCAATGATAAGGGGGGGTGGGGAAAAAAAAAATATCAATGATAATCTACACTAACACATCATGCACTAAATCTGCTTTGTAACAAGTCTCACATAAAATTTCAGATTTATAATACAAATCAATAAAGAGTGGTATTTATTTCTTTGATAAAAAAATCCCTTTTCCTAAAGCTTGGCTGAAGGATTCCTTTAATTAGCTAACTCCAGCCTCCAAAAGAATACATAAAATCATTCAATTGATTAATCCTGGTTTTCTAGACATTTCATGGATTATAGTATCATGTATTAACACATTTCATTTATGTGTGGTAAAGTAAAATTATAATGTTCAGGGTTATGTAAAATACATTTGTTTTGGATTTTAGCAAGGAATCAATTATACACATATGCAAAATTAAAAATGCTTATTATGATGATTGTGCAAAGCACAATCCTTTATTATTCATTAATAAAGGAAACAGAAAAGATGCTGATCAAAAACAGATTAGCTAATACAACACAAGTACCAAATGAGTTCCACACTTATAAATTCTACAGAAATTCCTAAGAGGAATTTGGGACATTTGGGCATGTAGCATATGGAGGCAAGACCAAATGAAAGACTGAAAAGATTATGTCAGGAGCTTATGCACAGACTTCTGGAAAGCAGGGCTCTAGAAGACGTTCTTTGTGTTTCTTCAATTCACCCAAGAAGGAGTTTTTTAACTGGGAATTAATACATATATCATTCCATAGTTCAATTACATCAGCAGTATTATACAACTGCTACCACAATCAATTTCCAAACATTCTTTTCTTTCCTGGACTCCTTGACATAGGCTCCCCTTTGCCCACCCCACCACTGTCACCGCTGTACCACACCACACCCAGAAGCCCTTATTCCACTTGCTGTCTCTATATAGGTTCATCAATCCTCGGTTTCATATACCGAATACCAAAAAAACATATAACACAAATTCCTGAGGGTGACCCCAGTGACATAAGACATTCTGTAGGAACTGACTGTAGTCTTCTACATAGAAGGGGAAGTTCAGAGAGGATAGAAAAAAATGAGGTGGGATTTAACCAACATCCATAATTAGAAGGCAGAAGGCATCCACCACCTGTCTGTCAGTTTTTCCTGCGGTATTTTGTGTGTTGCTGTGGTGTTGGAAGCTATGACACAAGTATGTCAAATATCAGCGGGATCATTCATGGTGGGCACGTTTCAACAGAGCTCCAGACTAAGACTGACTTGGAAGAAGAACCTAGTGATCTACTTCTAGGCCAGGAAAAGTCTTTATGAATTATCAGAAGGTTGGAAGGCGCTCAGGTACAACTAGGGCGCAGCTGCTTTCTCATAGGACAGTCAAATTTGAGGACATGAATGGAACGCAGAATTTAGGCTCTTCATGTGCTGATGTAGCATCACTCAAAAGGGGAAGAAACAACCACAAATACCCATTAATAATGACCATGTGGAATGTACAAAGCATGAAGCTGGGAAATTTGGAAGAAGTCAAAATGAAACACATAAATATACTCAGGTGTTAGCTAAAATGGACTAGTTTGGCCATTTGAAATCAGGCAATCAGATGGTCTAATATGCCAGTAGTGATAAGTTGAGGAATAATATATTAATTATTAAAATGTACATTTCAGGATCCATCCTGAAATACAATGCAGTTGTTGATAGGATAATATCCATTTGCCTATAAGGAAGACCAATTAATAAAGCTATTATTCAAATGAATGTATCAATCACTAAAGACAAATATGAAACTGATTAAATAAGCAATAAAGATGTATTGATAATTACTAGTTTGGGGAATCGAAAATTTAAAAACAAGTAATAAGAATCACTGGTTGGAAAATACAGAAGGGCTTCAAAAAGTTCATGGAAAAATTCCATTACCATTTAATTCCAATTTTCCATGAACTTTTAAAATCCCTTTTTATGGCCTGGGTGATAGAAATGATGCTGGAAATCATAAGACAGAAGTTTGAAAGACCTAATTATTGGAAATACCTTTTTCTACAATATAAGCAGTGACTGTATACCTAGACCTTGTTACACGGAATATGAGGAGTCTTCAAAAAATCTATGGAAAATGAATATTATGAAGAAAGTATGCTTAAATTTCAATTTTTTGCACCAAAATATGCCTATAATGATTTGCTATAACATTTCCAACAGCATCTAGTTGCAGAACTAAGAAAAATAAGACGTCAGTTTTTAAAAAGCCCCTTAGAGGCGCTAACCCACCCAAGGGGAGGGTATTATTTATATCTCCACAGGAAA